GGTAGTGTTTACTACAAGTGTTCTGAAAACAATGAATCAGCGACTACACCAGAAAGATCACTGAATGAAAACACTTTTTGGCAAACTCCTGTTCTGCTCTGCTTCCAATCCATACATAAGAAGCATAAAAACAGTAAACACTGAACCTTCGGAAAGCAAGAAGGAGTTGATTTATGCGTCCGACCGAAAAAGGGAAAGGATACACAGTCTCTGAGTACCCTTACAGCACATCACAGCGGACCCTCCACTTACAGACGGCTCCATCTGGGGACTTTTCGACTTACAGACATCTCCGGCCGCAAAATTTCACTTCGACTTGCGGATGGAGAATCGACCTATGGACCGGAAGGGGGAGGCAGGGACAATGCCAAATTCGAATTTAGTGCATTTCCGCCACAATGGGCGGCATCTCGGAGGCTCCCCTGCCGCTGTTGGAGGCCTCCAAAGCATGATCCATGGTGGCAGAGAAGCCCTGGAAGGCCTCCAGAGGTCCCCCTCACCGCTGATTGTGCCTCCGGAGCTTCTCTGGTCATCCACCGCCACAGCGGCCGGCTATCCCAGGGCATATCAGGCCTACCAGGGGAGGGCTTCCGCTGATAGACCTGGTCTACCCACCGGGAAAGCCTGGTAGACCGGACCTATCAAGGGAAGCCCTCCCCTGGTACGCCCATTGTACCCTGGATAAGCTGACACCGGCAGCAGAGGCCAACCTCCGAGAGGCCTCCCATGGCGGCAGAGAAGCCCTCGGCGGGCTTCGGCAGCGGCGATGGCGGCGGCGAGGGACCCATTTGGAACACTAAGGTGCTGCTTTTTGCATTTATTTTCTTTTTTTGGTGAGGGGTGTTTTTTCTTTGGTGGGTTACGGATTAAGAGGTTTTCAATGCATTCCTATGGGAAATGGACCCTCGACCTATGGACTTTTCGACCGTTCCAATAGAGATTAAATCTGTAAGTCGAGGGTCCACTGTAAAATGATGAAAAAGCAGCTTAAGTGAGGCATTAAGTGTCTAAAATGCATTGCTGGTGCAGTCACACAATTAGAAGGAATCAGAAGTTACACATAAAGCTATTATAAAACAGAGAAGCGATGAGTGATAATCAAGACAAACATATGCAATGATTAACATGCAGAGGGAAACAGAATACCTTTGTCCCGACTACAAGAATGAGAGGCTCCCTGATTCTCCTGTAGAAAAGAATCCGTCCCCTGAAGATCTGGAGACGCCTCCGATATGCCTGAGGGGAGAGCAGGAGCTCCGTCATTATCTTCTGGGTCCTTCGGGGTCTCCAGCTGCTGCTGCTCACCCTCGAGAAGAGTTCCTGGCCTTCCAGGTATGTACCAAGCATTTCTCCACATGGGCCACCTGGGAGAACAGAGGAGAATCCTTCTAGCAGTACAATCATGGTAACAAGCCTAGTCTTGGTTAAGCAGTCCCATTGCTTTCCATGGGATGATCTCATCCAGCTGCTTCTTTTGTCATTGATCACTCTCTGTTATGCTTATATAGCGCCCTGGAGAATTCAAAGCACTCTATGAGCTGATGACAATCCTGCAGACTACATATCCCCACCCCATGCCACCCCTGTGAGCTGAGAAACTCAATTTTCCAACCCCAGAAGGACGGAAGAGTGAGTCAACCTTGACTCATGGAATTGAATTTGGGTCATGAGCAGAGTTTTGGCTCCAGGACTGCAGTTGAACCACTGCACCACGAAGCTCACTATCTAAAACCCCTGAAACAAGACAGTCCAGAGGTGCGAATAGAATTTTCAGACTCCAACTCCCAGAACATTCCAAGAGTCCCTACCCCACACCCAACATCTTGGGAATCCCAGTCCACAAACTCATACCATCAGATGCCTGTAATTCCCTCACCTGAACCAGAACCAACTCTTCTGAGGCTGCATTCTAGAGCTTTATTTCGGGCTGCAATGCTTCCTGGGAGTCAGTTCTTTGGGAGGGGTCCACCGTAGAGCTGAAAGGGCAAGAAACCAGAATAACCAGAATAGAAATGGGGCAGGAAATTGAGGCCTCAAATTCACTCTCCGTTGACTAATCTTTGAGGAAAATGAAAGTGCTTGAAGATGTGGGTCTGCAGCCGAGAATTCCAACCTAAGAATTTTCAAATAATTCAATGAGTAGGACACCAAATTAACCAATTAGCATCTATCGCAGATGAAAGATTTCTGTGCTCCACAATTCTGTGGTAGTTCCTGGAAAACAGGGAAGACAATCAAAT